AGAGATCCTCCCACCTTGGCTTCTCAAGGTGCTGGGTTTATCAGTGCAAGCCATTGTGCCCGCCCCCCACCAAAAAAAAAACCCAGATATATTCTAATGAATAAAAATAGAACTAGTCCATTTGCTTTGATAATTATACAATCTCCCACAGTTTGAATGTTCTATAATCCAAGCACTATCTTCTTTTTTTTTTTTGAATTGAAGTCTGACTCGGTCGCCCAGACTGGAGTGCAGTGGCCGCTCCTGGCCACCGCAGCCTCAACCTGCCGGGCTCCGGCAATCCTTCCGCCTCAGCCTTCCGAGTAGCCGGAATTACAGGCATGCACTACCACGCTTGGCCGATTTTTTGATTTATTGTAGAGATGAGGTCTCGCTGCCCAGGCGGGTCTCGAACCCGCGGGCTCAGGCAATCCACTCACCTCAGCCTCCCAAAGGCGCGGGATGACAGGCTGAGCCACCGAGCCCGGCTTATTGCATTATTAATTTTTTAATTTTAATTTTAATTTTTTATTTTTGAGTTGGAGTCTCACTCTGTCACCCAGACTGGAGTGCAGTGGCCACTCCCGGCCACCTCGACCCACTGGGCTCCGGTGATCCTTCCGCCTCGGCGTTCCAAGTAGCTGGAACTACAGGCGCGCGATACCACGCCCAGCTGATTTTGATTTATTGTAGAGATGAGGTCTCACCAAGTTACCCAGGCGGGTCTCGAACCCGCAGGCTTAGGCAATCCACCCTCAGCCTCCCAAAGGCACGGGATTACAGGCTGAGCCACCGAGCCCGACTGCGTTATTAATTTTAGAAGGAGTGACATTTTGCTGATATTAAGTCTTCCCATCCAGGAACGTGTACACACTCTTTTTTTTGCTGAAGTTTTATCTTATGTCTTTTAATACATTTCCACCATTTTGTCCCTATGGATCCCGTGCCTTCCTAGGTATTTTATACTTGTGGTTGCTGTTGTGAATGGGATATTTTTTTCCCCTTCTGTATTCTAACAGACATTGCTTAGACACAGGAAAACTTTTTTTTTTTGAGTTGGAGTCTCACTCTGTCGCCCAGATTGGAGTGCAGTGGCCGCTCGCAGCCACCGCAGCCTCAACTTGCTGGGCTCCGGGGATCCTTCCGCCTCAGCCTTTCGAGTAGCCGGAATTACAGGCGCGCGCTACCACGCCTGGCTAATTTTTTTTTATTTATTGTAGAGATGAGGTCTTGCCTGCCCAGGCAGGTCTGGAACCCGCGGGCTCAGGCAATCCACTCACCTCAGCCTCCCAAAGGCGCGGGATTACAGGCTGAGCCACCGAGCCTGGCTAGGAAAACTCTTAATTGGGTTCTTTATGCTTATCCAGTCACTAAGTTCCCTTGTTAATTCTAGTAGCTTATTCTTTGGGGATTTGTATTCTTTGGTATTCTAGAAATGCAATCACATTTCCTGTAAAATAAAGGTAATTTTTTTCCTGGTATCTACACCAGAAGGTCTCCTCTGCAGCTGTTTCCCCACTGTGAGCATTCGTGACTGCTGCCCTTGGCTGTCCTGTGTGTGGCCTCCAAGGAATGAGAAAGAAACTTTCTATGAGAGTATTCCACGATCGCTTTGTTCCAGTGTCAAGGATGACAACACAGTACAGTGGTTCCTGGTCTCTTAGCTCTCATATACTCCAATTCAAAGAGTCATTGATACACATTTCTTGAGCTCACTGCTGTAATCACACCAGTCAAGTTCCCATTTATCTCTTGTATCGGGAGACAGGCCCGCCATTACTATCTAATGAGTCTGTTTCAGTAACTGTCACATTATTCAGTTTTATTTTCTTCATAGACCCAGTCATGTTGGCAGGTATATAATTCATTTATGTTTATCTCTCCAAGATAGATTACATACTAGGCTATGAACCTGACTTATTTACCTTTCCAGCTGTAGTAGCTACAGTGAAAACACTTAGTAGGCCTTCAATACATATCTGTTGAGTAAAGGAATGTCGAGTTTTCTGGAAAATAATGTGCAGCATGTTTAAGTAATTTCCCTTTTTTTCTTTTTTTTGTAGGAGTCTCACTCTGTCACCCAGGCTGGAGTGCAGTGGCATGCTCACAGCCACTACAGCCTTGACCTGCTGGGCTCAGGTGATCATTCCACCTCAGCCTTCCAAGTAGCTGGAACTACAAGCATGCGCCACTACACCTGGCTTACTTTTTGATTTATTGTAGAGATGAGGTCTTGCCAAGTTGCTCAGGTTGGTTTTGAACCCGTGGGCTCAGGCAATCCTCTTGTTTCAGCCTCCCAAAGTGCTGGGATTATAGGTGTGAGCTATTTATTGTAGAGAGGATGTCTTGCCAAGTTGCCTCAGGCTGGTCTTGAACCCCTGGGCTCAGGCAATCCTCTTGTCTCAGCCTCCCAAAGTGCTGGGATTACAGGCATGAGTCACTGTGCCCGACTTTTTTTCCCATTTCTTTCTTTCTTTTATTTATTTATTTTTTTTGCAAATTCATCACAGAGCTGGAGCAGCCCCCAGCACAGCCTCTCCTCAGGCCAGACATGCCCAGGCAACCTGTGTGCTAGGACTTAAACTTATGGGATGGCGACATGTGGGAGCCCATGTGGCCTCACCAGCTCCAATGTCATGTATGTGGCAGAGTTAGGCCCACTTGAAAACTTAACAAATGCGCCAAAAAGAACACCACCTCAACTTTTCCTTTTTTTGAGTCGGAGTCTCACTCGTTGCCCAGACTGGAGTGGAGTGAGAGTCCAACTCAAAAAAAAAAAAAAAAAAAAAAAAAAA